TTTAAATATTTAAGTTTTTAAATAGAACAAGTTTTTAGTATTTACCCAGCAAAAACTCGGTAATGGGTTGTACTTCCATAACCACTTACTTTTCAATGACTACTACCTACCGTCTGCATTATGTACTTAGAAGTACTCTAGTAATAACTTTCTTATAATCTGATATAGAAGTACATTATTTTCGGCTTTGTCATTTTGTTTGCACATTTTATTTAATTGCGTTTTAAGAATTGTGTTTTACAAAAAATAAAACAAAATTAATTTTGATTGTGAAAACCATTATTTGATGCGCAATAAAATAGCTAAGCAGTGGTGCAGTGTGTAGAACATTTGACTAAAAAATCGAAGTCCCTGGTTCGTATTCTAGCTGGCTCTTTTTATTATTAAAAAACAAAACAACTTAACAACTGTTTTGTAAGAGAAATTGCAAGTACTTCTTTAACTTTCTATTAGTAAGCGAGCGTAGAAGTACTTGCGTCCAATGACATCACCGTGTTAAAATAATGACTTAAAATGATAATGAAGAAGTAGTGAAAAGAGGTTTTATTAGCTTCTTAACTCACTACTTTTCAATGTAAGTTTTTCCTGGGTAACTGTGTCCAAACTCTCTACATTATTAAGTAATTATTTAATTACTATATTTTCAATTTCCAAAAAATATTTTTTAATTCGAAAAACACGAAAATTTCGGAATGTATGATCATGTTTTACCTCGTAGGAGCGCTCATGATACCCCATCGTTTATAGGGAAATTTTCAACTAAAAATTTAAAGAATTAAACATTTTCTTACAATACTAACTTGTACATGGAACAAATTCAATAGGAGAGATAGGTTTGTACAGCTTTAGAAAGTTTGGATCATAACTTGTTGTTTAAAGTTTCACAAATGACTCTAAACTTTCATTTGTTAGTTGTCTCACATACAGAATGATTAAACAAAGTTGAAATGTTGTGTATATTGTAGAAACGTTTGCGAATTGTTTTGTTAGTTTTAACAAACACTGCTCGTTAATCTATTCAGAAAGATTTTAATATATGTATGTATATATTTTTTTTTAAAAATAAAAAAATTGCGTATGGAACTAAAGAGCCATAGCTCAACATCCAAAGAGCCGCATTTGGCTCGCGAGCCGTAGTTTGCCGACCCCTGGTCTAGTCTATAGTCTAGTCTATAGTCTAGTCTATAGTCTAGTCTATAGTCTAGTCTATAGTCTAGTCTATAGTCTAGTCTATAGTCTAGTCTATAGTCTAGTCTATAGTCTAGTCTATAGTCTAGTCTATAGTCTAGTCTATAGTCTAGTCTATAGTCTAGTCTATAGTCTAGTCTATAGTCTAGTCTATAGTCTAGTCTATAGTCTAGTCTATAGTCTAGTCTATAGTCTAGTCTATAGTCTAGTCTATAGTCTAGTCCATAGTCTAGTCTATAGTCTAGTCTATAGTCTAGTCTATAGTCTAGTCTATAGTCTAGTCTACAGTCTAGTCTATAGTCTAGTCTATAGTCTAGCCTATAGTCTAGTCTATAGTTTAGTCTATAGTTTAGTCTATAGTCTAGTCTAGTCTAGTCTATAGTCTAGTCTATATTCTAGTCTATAATCTAGTCTATAGTCTAGTCTATAGTCTAGTCTATAGTTTAGTCTATAGTCAAGTCTATAGTCCAGTCTAGTCTATAGTCTAGTCTATAGTCCAGTCTAGTCAATAGTCTAGTCTATAGTCTAGTCTATAGTTAAGTCTATAGTCTAGTCCAACGGTTCCCAAAAGGGGGTCCGCGGACCCCTAGTGGTCCGTAGCAAAATCCTAGGGGGTCCGCGAAGACGAACGAAAAAAATCATGAATAAAAAATATTCTCTATATGTTACAAAATATTAAAAATATCTCCAAATTTTTCATAAATACTAAAATACACAATTTTTATTCAATAATCCCAGATTTGTTGGTGACTCTTTAAATTTTATTGTTTCGGTCGTTTATCAGGATGAAGCTAGGCGCTACAAATTTATTGTTTCACTTTTATAAAGTAAAGTATTACGTGATTTGTAATTTTTATAAATATATGTACATATATGTATCGAAATAAATGTTTTTATAGCAGACGGATAATGATTTGCCTTAGAATTAAATACTGATACTGGTATCCCGGAATATGAAGTTAGGTCACATTTCATAATATTTTTTTAAATTGTAAGCAAAAGTGTTAATCTAGTTAATTTTAAATATAAATATTCCATTCCAACGTGATACACAGATTTTAACTTCATTTTGTTGTCCAATATTATTAAATCAACATCAGAAAATTCATAGCGTTTTGCGTAAATAGTCAAAACCACGCAGTAAAATAATTCGTAGGTATTTTAAAATTCAAATTTAAGATCCAAATTCACAGTACATTCGCAAAGAGTTCAGGTCATATTTTATGTGGGTAACGCATTCCGCAACAACATCGAAGAAGTCTAACTTTCACATATTTTCCCGAAAACTTAGCTTACATACTCAGCTCACTCCTATGCAATACTTGTTAAAGAAGCCCTTTCACTACCTTGACGAGAAATGAACATGAAAGCTCTCACGATCATAAAATTAAACATCATGTTAGAAGTCATTCTATATTTAAAACCATGAAATTGAAAACATCTCCGAAATACTAAATGTTCTCAATGTACGGGAATATTTTATAGGGTTTATGGACCAGGACTAAGACAATTTTCGGACGAACAATTACACAGTGATACAGCAAAAAAATGCAGGGGTTCTCATATACCAATTCCATTTCGTTATAGTCCATAGAGTAGGAATTTATTTTTAATTTTTCCCGATCACTTCGTTTAGTTCCTTTTTAAGAGCAAAAGTTGTGAAAAAGAGCTATTTTTGAAGTTTTAACTTAAAAAAAAATATATGTTTGGTAGTTTGCAACCGATTTTCAAATTGGATATTTTGTTTTAAAGATACAAGTGTTGTCTTTCAACCCAAAAAAATAAATTCAAAATTTATGATTAATGTCTTGGTTACGGCCATTTAAGTAAAAAAACTCACACTTTTTTCACAATTTTTAATTTTCATACTGCTCTACGTTGGCCATGAAGCAGTAACTTTAGCTTTTATTACATTTGAAAAATGGCACATTAAGTTGGGTTTCCAATGATGGTCAATTTATGATAATCGATGAAAAAGGTTATGAGTTGTGCTAAGTTTTATAAAAATATAGCATATTTCTTCCATACAAAAACGTTCATGTTTCTGTTTTTCTTTGCAACAAGTTTAAAAAATGTTTATAAACATTTTTATACAAAAATTAATTTGTATGGAGAAAACCAAAAATTCGAGAAACATGCTATTAGAAAAATTGGCATAAATCATCCAGTTTTTCATAGATTTTTATGAAATAACAAGTTTTAGAAACCTTCCTTTATGTGATTCTTCAGGAAAGTAATAAAAGATGAACTCACTGCCTCATGGTCAAAGTAGAGCATGATGAAAATTAAAAATTGTAACTCAGACATTTGACCATAAATTTTGGATTTCTTTTTTGGATTAAAAGACACTTGTATCATTAAAAAAATATCGGATTTGAAAATCGGATGAAAACTACTAAACTTATGATTTTTCAAATTTAAAACTTCAAAAATGGCTCTTTTTCGCATCTTTTGCTCTTAAAAAGTAAGTTAACGAAGTGATAGGGGAAAACTAAAAATATATTCGTACTCTATGGACTATAACGAAATAGAGTTGGCATATGAGAACGCCTGCATTTTATTTTTCTTCACTTTTGTATCACAGTGTTATTTATAACAATAAGATATCAAAATATGTATGGGGGTCCGTGAAATTAAATAAATTCCTCAAGGGGTCCGCGAAGTAAAAAATGGTGGGAACCGCTGGTCTAGTCTATAGTCTAGTCTATAGTCTAGTCTATAGTCTAGTCTATAGTCTAGTCTATAGTCTAGTCTATAGTCGTCTATAGTCTAGTCTATAGTCTAGTCTATAGTCTAGTCTATAGTCTAGTCTATAGTCTAGTCTATAGTCTAGTCTATAGTCTAGTCTATAGTCTAGTCTATAGTCTAGTCTATAGTCTAGTCTATAGTCTAGTCTATAGTCTAGTCTATAGTCTAGTCTATAGTCTAGTCTATAGTCTAGTCTATAGTCTAGTCTATAGTCTAGTCTATAGTCTAGTCTATAGTCTAGTCTATAGTCTAGTCTATAGTCTAGTCTATAGTCTAGTCTATAGTCTAGTCTATAGTCTAGTCTATAGTCTATCTATAGTCTAGTCTATAGTCTAGTCTATAGTCTAGTCTATAGTCTAGTCTATAGTCTAGTCTATAGTCTAGTCTATAGTCTAGTCTATAGTCTAGTCTATAGTCTAGTCTATAGTCTAGTCTATAGTCTAGTCTATAGTCTAGTCTATAGTCTAGTCTATAGTCTAGTCTATAGTCTAGTCCTATAGTCTAGTCTATAGTCTAGTCTATAGTCTAGTCTATAGTCTAGTCCTATAGTCTATAGTCTAGTCTATAGTCTAGTCTATAGTCTAGTCTATAGTCTAGTCTATAGTCTAGTCTATAGTCTAGTCTATAGTCTATTCTATAGTCTAGTCTATAGTCTAGTCTATAGTCTATTCTATAGTCTATTCTATAGTCTAGTCTATAGTCTATTCTATAGTCTAGTCTTTAGTCTAGTCTATAGTCTAGTCTATAGTCTAGTCTATAGTCTAGTCTATAGTCTAGTCTATAGTCTAGTCTATAGTCTAGTCTATAGTCTAGTCTATAGTCTAGTCTATAGTCTAGTCTATAGTCTAGTCTATAGTCTAGTCTATAGTCTAGTCTATAGTCTAGTCTATAGTCTAGTCTATAGTCTAGTCTATAGTCTAGTCTATAGTCTAGTCTATAGTCTAGTCTATAGTCTAGTCTATAGTCTAGTCTATAGTCTAGTCTATAGTCTAGTCTATAGTCTAGTCAATGAATAATGAATTCAAGAAATAAAAAATATATATTTTAATACAAGCTAGTCTTTATTAATCATAATCTTTATACATTAAAGAAACTTCATGATTTGTTGTTAGATCACAGGGTCTACGGTTGAACTGATCCAGTTCTCTTAACCAAACATTGGCAACTGTAAATAAAGAAAAAAGTAATTACATAAATCAATACAATTTTTCTCCTTAAATAACAAAATTAAACTTACTCCATTTGGAACCCTTCAATACTGGACAGGCGGCATGTTTGGTGCGATAATCACCATCACCTGAGGCATGTAAATTATACCAAAATAACATGGCACCTTTGCGGGGCTTCACCAATATATTCAAAAAGGGAAAGGCAGTACCACCGCCTTCTTCAACATCGGCTAGCTAAAAGGGATATACATAAATTATATACATAAATCAGTTAAAATTATATTTAACTTACATAGAAAATAGCTGTTGATATGCGATTTCCCTCCATATCGCTATCAGTATAATCTTCCTGAAATCAAAATTAAGGATCATTATTTCAAAAAAATACTTATATATTTTTTGGAATCACCGTAAAGAAATCAAAATGTGGCTCATAATGACCGCCCAAACCATAATTAGCTATTTGCAAATCTTCAGCATTGTCAGTATTTAGCCCTGTTAAGTGATTAACATGCTGCAACCATTGTGTGGTATATTTGTGATAATTATATTTGAACCAGGCAGTTTTACTGGTACGATAATAGGTTATTTCCGAGTGACTGCCATCTTTTGAAAACACTGTAGATCTTTCCATATGGGGTTGAGCAATTGCCTTAATCGCCTCAATTTGATGATCACTTATGACATCATGAATAAAAACTATATAAGGATCTAGCGATAACTCTTCTAGTTTGTAGGGTTGCAGTAAACGATAAGGATGATTATTGGTATAAAGTCTACAGTATAGAAGACTTTGTTGTTGTTGTTGTTGAGATCTGAGTGCAAATTCACCACGACAGACTTTTTCATAAAGTTTATATTCATTGGTATTCTGTAAGGAATAGGTAGTGAATGGTCTTTTGTTGGATTAATTTTCATGAGTAACTTACATGATAATGATTTTGTTGTTTAGAATTTTGATACATTAATCCCTCTTGTTTACCCTCATTTATAACTTCCTCCAAATACATTTTAGTTTCTCGAGCACTTTGGCGTGTTTCATCTTGGCTGAGTATATAGTCCATTAGCTCCAAAGCTGATTGGAAGTCTCCTAAAAGAAATCAACTTTAAATGGTTGAAATAATGTAAAAATATAACCGAAAATAGCACTCTATCTTGTTATACCCTACACCAATATAGTGGGGAGGTTATTATGTTTTTGTGCTTATGTTTTAACACCCAAAATAATTGGTCCTAAACCCGTGGATTCTAGCTCTAAAAGTTTCCCAGATTTACGAATTTTTGAATTTCACTCATATGAGAGGTCCTGTATTCTAGTTTATAGTCTAGCCTATAGTCTAGTCTATAGTCTAGTCTATAGTCTAGTGTATAGTCTAGTCTATAGTCTAGTCTATAGTCTAGTCTATAGTCTAGTCTATAGTCTAGTCTATAGTCTAGTCTATAGTCTAGTCTATAGTCTAGTCTATAGTCTAGTCTATGGTCTAGTCTATAGTCTAGTCTATAGTCTAGTATATAGTGTAGTCTATAGACTAGTATTTAGCCTAGTCTATATTCTAGTCTAGTTTATAGTCTAGTCTATAGTCTAGTCTTTAATCTAGTCTATAGTCTAGTCTATAATCTAGTCTATAGTCTACTCTATAGTTTAGTCTATAGTCTAGTCTATGGTCTAGTCTACGGTCTAGTCTATAGTCTTGTCTATAGTTTAGTCTATAGTCTAGTCTATAGTTTAGTCTATAGTTTAGTCTATATATTAAGGTATATTAATTGGTTCAGAATCACTTTCTGAGTCGATTTAGCTGTGTCCGTCTGTCTGTCCCACGTATAACCCTTCTTTCAGAAAATTCTGATTTTTGTCAACAAACTGTTAAAATATTTCGGAATTAACGCAAACTTAAATTGTAGCATATGGTCGGCCATGTCCGACTATATTTTCCTACTTGTTTTTTCTTCAATTATACCAAATAATTATAAATAAATTTGCCAAACTAAGTAAGTATGTACTTACCTATTGTCTTATGATATTCGGCAATTGTTTCTATAAACTCCAAAGTCATTTCGGCATCATTAAAATCACCAGACATCAACATTTTGGTAGATTGTTTTAGCCAAGGTATTGTATGATTATAATCTTGCATGGCATACAAATATTCACCAACTAAATAACAATCTTGCCATGACATAGACGAACTAAAATAGTTTATTTTACATGATAGTTTTTGTGTTTTGCGAAAATTATACACACAATTAACAGATTAACATTAATAAATCAACATCAAACATCTTCATACACACCCATATTTTACACCATTTAATATACCACTAGCCACTTGTGAGACATCTAATTGATATGTTTCCTGTAAACGTACCAAGGCCAATGTCGAACCAACCATATCATTTTGTGTGGGAAAACTTAGATTTTGTTTTAATTCTTTCATATTCTCCAAATAATCTAAATGAACATAATATGAGAGTATTTTATATAGTAGTATTTTTGGTTACTTAAGTCTTTACCAAAAACCAGTAAAGTTTTATTAACTTACTTGTACGTGTGGCATCAACCGTAACAGTCTCCTCAAATGTTGGCCAATCGGTATAGAGACGTTTTATCAAACGATACGCATTTATGGGATTGTTAAGATAACCCTCAAGATCTTTTGAAGCATCATCATGTTCTTGATGGATAAAATTTAATTCACTGAGTATTAGAGGAAGAACAAAAGTGGAATTTTGTTATATAAAGTTTGATAAAGAACATTTGGACATTTTAAACTTTGGAAATGTTATAAACAATATAAATTCTTAATAAATTGTCTTGTAGTGTGTGTTTGTTCTTGAATAGTGTATAAAACGAGTTAAAAGTAGAGATATGAATTAACTTCCTTCTTATTAACTCGCTTGGCTGAAACCTCCAATTAAAAAGTGAAATCGGAAACTTAAAGTATAGTCAGTTATTTAAATAAGTTAACATTGAATATATGATATAGCAAGGCGGGTCCATCAGTGTTAAGCAATATAAAATTTTATTTAAAACGGATCTAACTATATGGAATTGGATGAGATTTGATTTCAGCAGAAGGAAGTTTTTCACATTGGACATTCCTTTTACTTAATACTTTTGAGATAATGATATCTCTTTCAAGGAAACGACGCGAATTAATTACTGGGATCATGATATTTGATAAAGCCAGATCTCAAGGAGGTTTCTTAAGTTTCTCAGGCCTGTTGGATTTTGTTAGTGAAAATCGTTAATGTCTTCGTATGGAAACACGAAATTGATAAGTCCAATTCTATGTTTAACACTACGACTCATTCCAACATCGATCCACAGATATGGGAGACCCCTATATTTTGACAAATATTCTTATGATGAATAAGAATTGCCAGAAATAACACAACTAGGAGTGATGATGAATTCGACGCTTTTACTGGTATTTCACTTACTAATTGTAAGGCTCACGTTAGAACTGAACTATATATATGAAATGGCTCAAATCAGATGATTTAGCGCAACCACCTGTCTTACCTCGAGGTTAGCCTGATGCGCCTAGGTCGAGCTTACTGTTAAGTCTTCGTAGCAAGCTGATACGTACGCTATTCAGTAACAATGGACACTGTATTATTGGTAATCATGCTGGGAGAATGGGCCTAGAGTACAATAACTACTATAGAAATTGTCATAATGAGGAGAAAGTGGAGAGACTATATCTCATCTCTTCTGCTATTGTTGGACATTCACTGAGAACGGATTTTGATGCTACTATCTATGAGGAATTTAAAAACATCTTAAATTTCGTAAATGGAGCCAGTGTTTAACACTTTAACATGAAGGATTTCTACGAGCACTGGGGAATTAAGAGGACCACAATCAGGCCGCTCAAATTAAGTGTCTACCCTTTATACTTAAAACTATGGAATGATAATGTCTTTCTATTGAAAAATGTCGTCATAAATATTTCAATTAAATTCAGAACTTTTACAGTAAACCAGAATATGTACCAAAAATTCAGATTTCAGATTTTATCGGTGTAAAAGAGGCCTTCTATCTATACATTTTGTATACTACTGCAAAAGTACTTTTAAATTACTTCTGAGTACCTTCTAGTTAATGTCATCAATTAAACTTTGATATTCTAGTGTCAAGCTAAGGCCTCTTGGAAGTATCGTTCGGATATTTCTCTCAAACGAAAATTAAAACGAACCATACATTTACACTAAATAGATTTAAGTGGATCACTAAATCACATCCATTTAAATAAAAAACTATAGTCATCAATAAACAACCTAGCTAAACTTGTGTTTCCCCCGGAAACTAGTCTAACTGCTAGCGCTTAATAACAGAGCAATAAAATTCGATCCCATATGTATAAAATATTTTTAATAAAAGTAATAAAACTTTCATCTTAATGCTTTTGTTTTTTTTTCTACCCTAGCATCATTGTTTTCTGTCTATTTTATTTATGATACATTTTTAATTTATTTATTTAACTACTATTAAATGGTTTTATTTACGGCATAATGATCATTTATAAATGTTAAGTTAAAGCAATTTTGAATTAATCGTATTGTTTAAATATTTAAAATTTTTATCATGACGAAAATAAATAGAAGTTATTATCATTTACTACCTTTTTGATATTTTTTCTGAATTTGACACCGTAAAAGATAAAAAAGAAATTATGTTCAGTAAGGACAGTGTAACATCATATCATTAAAGTAATTCTTTAAAATTTTGAAATCAATAGACTATAGACTGGACTATAGACTAGACTATAGACTAGACTATAGACTAGACTATAGACTAGACTATAGACTAGACTATAGACTAGACTATAGACTAGACTATAGACTAGACTATAGACTAGACTATAGACTAGACTATAGACTATAGTAGACTAGACTATAGACTAGACTATAGACTAGACTATAGACTAGACTATAGACTAGACTATAGACTAGACTATAGACTAGACTATAGACTAGACTATAGACTAGACTATAGACTAGACTATAGACTAGACTATAGACTAGACTATAGACTAGACTATAGACTAGACTATAGACTAGACTATAGACTAGACTATAGACTAGACTATAGACTAGACTATAGACTAGACTATAGACTAGACTATAGACTAGACTATAGACTAGACTATAGACTAGACTATAGACTAGACTATAGACTAGACTATAGACTAGACTATAGACTAGACTATAGACTAGACTATAGACTAGACTATAGACTAGACTATAGACTAGACTATAGACTAGACTAGACTATAGACTAGACTATACTATAGACTAGACTAGACTAGACTAGACTATAGACTAGACTATAGACTAGACTATAGACTAGACTATAGACTAGACTATAGACTAGACTATAGACTAGACTATAGACTAGACTATAGACTAGACTATAGACTAGACTATAGACTAGACTATAGACTAGACTATAGACTAGACTATAGACTAGACTATAGACTAGACTATAGACTAGACTATAGACTAGACTATAGACTAGACTATAGACTAGACTATAGACTAGACTATAGACTAGACTATAGACTAGACTATAGACTAGACTATAGACTAGACTATAGACTAGACTATAGACTAGACTATAGACTAGACTATAGACTAGACTATAGACTAGACTATAGACTAGACTATAGACTAGACTATAGACTAGACTATAGACTAGACTATAGACTAGACTATAGACTAGACTATAGACTAGACTATAGACTAGACTATAGACTAGACTATAGACTAGACTATAGACTAGACTATAGACTAGACTATAGACTAGACTAGACTAGACTAGACTAGACTAGACTAGACTATAGACTAGACTAGACTATAGACTAGACTAGACTATAGACTAGACTAGACCATAGACTAGACTAGACTATAGACTAGGCTAGACTATAGACTAGACTAGTCTAGACTATAGACTAGACTAGACTAGACTAGACTAGACTATAGACTAGACTAGACTAGACTAGACTAGACTAGACTAGACTAGACTATAGACTAGACTAGACTATAGACTAGACTATAGACTAGACTATAGACTAGACTATAGACTCAACTATAGATTCAACTATAGACTAGACTATGGACTTTACAAAAATGTTTAAATTCCAAAAAATACCGAAAATGTCTTAGGGGTTTCGCTGTATTTTTGGGTATAAAAAAAGGTATTGAAAAAAGTACTTAAGTACTGAATTTGATTGAATTATAATTTATAAAAGGGAACTTTTAGATACTTTTACGTTCTGCAACTGATACTTTTGAGAAATCGTAGTCTATATAAAAGAAAAATTTCTTAAAATTTTTACCAATAATTTCTTCAAGTGTACCATTTTATTATTAATAGTCTAGACCATAAATAATATCACACAAATTATTTTATAAACCGTTAGATCGTTTCATGATTAAGCATTTTTATTAGACTTGCAATTTAGACCGTTAAAAATAATGCAACGCAATTAAATTTAAATCAGGAATAATAAAAAAAAAAACAATATGCACATTAAATAATTGTTGTTTTTATTAATTTTTAATAATTCCTGTATATCGGCTCTTACGAATCAAACAAGTACTTAGTTAAAAAAAATATATAACAAGTTTTAATTGGGAATTTTGAAACAAAAGGAATTTAAATTTGTTTATTTTTAATTAAGAGCAAAATGTAATTTACTCATTATTTTTAAACAAACTGAAATAAAAACAACAACAACAGCAAAATATGAACATAAATTTATATAAATAAATTTGTTATTTTCATTGAAGTTCTTAGAAATTTCTATTCATTTGAATAGGTGCTAATTAGTTTCAATGTTGCAATGTTGCAATTTGAGAGAATTTGAGAATACTTGTTGGTGCAAAGTACATAAAGGCAATAATTGCATCTATATGTAAACAAATTATTTATACATACAAACATACATACATACATACATACTATTTGCCATACAAATTAAAGTCCTTTGTGAATATTTCAATAATCTTGTTAAACACACTTGAATGATTGAAATGTCTACAAATTAAGAAACTCACAAACAAACTAACACATACAACACTAAATACCATTTTCATATTGCCTGCACCAATGTTGCAAACATAGCCAGATACACACACATACACACGTTACATATAATGTTCATTTAAACATGCGAATTTCCGTGAGCTTATAATGTAAATGATTGCAGAAATTAATTAACCAAATTTTGGGGGAAATCAATTAACTTGTAAATTGTTTTGTAAATAAGTTTTTTTTGTAATGTTTAATGTTTTTAGCCACAATTGATTTGATTGCTTTTACCTTTGCAACACATCAATATGTTGTTGCAAATTATAAATGTAATTTTGCATTTCCGCTAGCAGTTGCACTTCCGTTTTAAATAAATTTTCCAAACCCGCCACCGAGGAAAAATAATCAATTTCTACCGTTAACGCCCAGCACGCTTTATTGCCCAACAGTAGGGTGTAGGTGCAAAAAATTGCAGTTATAAATAAATTTCTTAACATATCCTTTGGTAAAAAGCGCCGCGCTTTGCCTTCTTTTGGCTGAAAACGTCTTATCGTTGCTAAGTTTCTATGTAAACTAAGTTTCTTCTTGAAATAAATTGTTTTTTTTGGTTTGCAATTATTTTCCTCTTCTTCTTCTTCTTTGCTCAAGTATACCGGCTTAAAGAAATAAACTTTATTATTTAATATTTTTGTATAATGCCACAAAACAAAGCAAAGCAAAGCAACATATAATTTGTTAGTGTATAAGTTTTAAACCGCAAACCCACACATGAGCGAACCTGGAACGTTATATATACATACTGACATACATACATACATACATATGTATGTATGTAGATTCGGAATCTTTCCCGCTGTTTATTCGTTACGCTACAAGTACGCAAAAAAATTTACTTTTTGATTTTGTAGTCAAATATTGTTAACTTGTTTTTGTTTCAATTGTAAATTGTATACCCTATATAAGTGTATTAGGGTGGTACGAAATTGTATGGAGACTGAAACTGGTGATTATTAGCGCCCTTGTTATATATGTATGTAAGTGTTAAAAATTTGTCTTCCAGGGCTGTAATTGTTGCTGGCTTTTCCTAGCATACGAGAGTTCGAATCGCATGATATTAGCGACCAATGGACAACTTCTAAATGTCTTATTGAAATCAAAACCAATTCCTCCATTTTTGAAAAGATATATCGATCCCCATAAAATTTTGTGGATGGATTTAAGTTGATTTAAAATTTATTTATGCTGAATTTCATAGCGATGTTTGTGTTTATAAGTGAATTGTGGACATTCAAGTAACTTTCGCAGGGGGCTTTGTATGGGATCCAGGGTCAAATGTAGCCCGATCATTACGAATCTATATATATATATATATATATATATATATATATATATATATATATATATAAATGAATGTGTGTTTGTTTGTATGTTTGAACGTTATAGACTACTAAACGGCTGAACCGAATTTCTTCAAATTTTCACAGCGTATGTCTGCATGTCTGGAATAGGTAATGGGCTACTTTTTATTTTGAAATTGCAAATGGGCGGGGTGCCACGCCCATATTAAGAAAATTTGAAATGCGTATATTTGAGATAATATAACAGTTAGAGTCCTCAAATTTTGTCGGAGCCACTTTAGTGTCAATATGATTATTTAGGACAAAAAGTAGGCCGACTAGCATATATATATCAAATACAAAAATTCGTTTATCTTGGAAACTATTACAGTTAGAATCTTAAAATTTTGAACGAATAACTTTAACATCCATTTAAAAATTTTGGGTAATAAATTGGCGGACTACCCATGAGGGGTACGACACCTCCCATATTAATTAAATACTAATGGAAATAAATTCTTCAAATTTTGCACGAAGAACTTAAATATTCATCTGAGGGGGCTTGAAGCCCCCATATGAATTAAATAGAAAAATTCATATATCTGAGAAACTATTAGAGCTAGAATCTTCAAATTTTACTTGAAGACTTTTGACATTCATCTGAACATTTAGAGTATTACAGGCGGACTTTCAAAGGGGAACTTTCATATGAATTAAATATAAAATTTCGTTTATCTGGGAAACTAATAGAACTTGATTCTTAAAATTTTGCACAAATTATTTTAATATTCATCTGAACATTTTGGGGAAAAAGTGCGTGCTTTCATCTGGGGACATTCATGGGAACATGGGAATAACGGGCGGACTTTCAATGGGTGGCTTGGCACCACATATATGAATTAATTACAAAATTTTGTGTATCTTGGAAACTCTTATATTCTTCAAATTCTTCATAGATAGATAGAAAATGGCGATAGATAGAAACAGGCGAACTTGCAATAATTTGCTTGACATCTCTCATATGTAACATATTGTAAATCTTGAAAACTATTGTAGTAAGGATCTTTAAAATCGTTAAGTGGGTTTTTTATTTCTACATATTGCTTTTAGGGTAGCAAAGCACACTGGGTATAGCTAGTACTTATATAAAACTTAGTTGTTCCAAGATACAATATTCAACATAAATATGGGCTAGGTGAAATATTGGGCCGATTTGAACCATGGACTGCCAGCCGAACAGATGGTCGGACGAACGGACATCTCTTTATCAATTCAGAAACTGATTCTGATGATTGGTGTAGGACCAATATTTTTGGTTGTTACAGACATCAGCACAAACGCACAATACCCTTCCCACTATAATGAAAAAACTCTCAATATAAGGTCATATTCCTGAACATTGATTGGAGGGGGTTATAACTCAATGGTCTTAGGAGTTTTTGTCTATTTTTCTAATGAATAAGACCTCTTGTGGGATTCATGGTTCCGTCATTTAAACTGCTGAACGGTCAGAGTTCCTGATTATCAATATATATGGGAAGAATATCTAAGTTAAAGTTTTGCTCTTCTCATCTTGATCTGATGATGAGTTTATGTTCAAAGAATAATATGTAATTGCCTAGTTCCCTCACGATAATGATACATTTCCCAAATTACACAGGCCAACAAATTTTGAACAAGTCGAAATCCAGAGAGCAAAGTATACTTTGCAGCGCTGAATCCGAATCTGGCCTCAGAATTTAATGTAAATGATTGGACTTTCGGATGACATAACAAATTTTATAAATAAATATGGCCAAAAACGGGATTTTTTCCAACTTTATTACACGATACCTGAAAAACCTGATGTGATGGATAACTTTTCGGATTCAGTGCTGCTTTAGAACTTTAGACACTGCGCTAAAAATTTGTTGGCCGACAACGACATGAGAGGGGAAAATTAATCAAAAGGAGATTTAAACCATAGTTTAAGTTGTACACCAAAACTGACACTTTTTTAAACCGCCTTAATCTTCATGTGTATTTAATGATGTTAATATAGCAAAACACAATTAAAGCGATAAAGTGTACACTGGATATACACCGCGGTCATAGGACCTATTTTGACCTTTCGGACTCATGTTTGGTGGAGAACGGTGGATTCCAAGACTCAGTTCTCTTATCTAAACAAGGTACAAATATTAGCATGTCCTGTAATTACTGGCTGTATGAATTCCACCCCTCAGGCCAGTCTAGAGACGTTAAATACATATAATTCCCCTTGATATACTATAAAAATGCAGTTCTGCTATGTCTTTTCTACGACTTAAACAGTCGAACGGACTGAAGCATGATCGTATTGGCCACGACATCATCCTACAAAAGATAGACAGGCCAATCATGGGGCAGGAAACGGACTACATGGTACGTTTAGTTCCAGAATACCGAAAAGGGATGATTGGACACTGTTCTATTGGACGACGTGATCTCATTCTACACTGATGGTTCAACAATGAATTTTAATAGCACGTTTAGTACCAGAATACCGAAAAGGGATGATTGGACACTGTTCTATTGGACGATGTGATCTCATTCTACACTGATGGTTCAAAGACAGAAAGACTCTCTGACAAAGGATAGGTCTAGGACTGTTTTGTCTTTAGTGAGAATTTGATCAGGATTCTCACGGGTATAATTGCAAATGTCGAAACGTATTCCTCTTCCAAACTGCCCAGCGTTACCAGAGCACAGAATCCTATATATTGGTAGAGCTCGTTTCCATGATCTGGACTGCCTCAGAGATGTGTCAGATTTATAAGAAGAACCTACTGGTTCTCATTGGGACCATAGGAACCGCATAGTCAACGAAGTTATGTATGAACTTTCAACATAAGGGAATGTTATTTCTAAGGGCATCACAATGGGCCACTATGCCTCTGACGATGTGATCTAATTCTACACTGATGGTTCAAAGACAGAAAGACACTCTGACAAAGGATAGGTCTAGGACTGTTTTGTCTTTTAGTAAGAATTTGATCAGGCTTCTCACGGGTATAATTGCACATGTCGAAACGTATGGGTTACCCAAGTTATAACTATTGTAGATTCCTCTTCCAAACTGCCCAGCGTTACCAGAGCACAGAATCCTATATATTGGTAGAGCTCGTTTCCTGATCTGGACTGCCTCAGAGATGTGTCACTAGTAAATATGATCAGATTTATAAGAAGAACCTACTGGTTCTCATTGGGACCACAGGAACCGCATAGTTAACGAAGTTATGTATGAACTTTCAACATAAGGTAATGTTATTTCTAAGGGCATCACAATGGGCCACTATGCCTCCGAGTGAACTCGCTAACTAGCGAAAAACTCACGTAATATAACATAACCTACTCATGAACTTAATCCTCAGATTGTTGGATAATCAGTAAACTGAGTCTTTTGTGACTCCTTATGATGACGTAAATGCGATTAATAAGTTGAGCGCTTAAAAAATTATTCGGAAATGATCCCGATATATGATTTAAAACTGATTATTTGAAAAACAGTAATAAAATATATAGCAATCTGGTGTTTAAAATATGATGGTTTTAAAAACTTATATTGTGATCATATTTCAAGCAGTAGGAAGATCTAAACTTATTTCATATGTAATTGTTTTTGTTTGTAATGGTACAACAACAATTACACTTAAAATGACTCAAAAACGATTAAAAAATTGGTCGAAACTGATTAGAAAAGGGGCTCATAAAAGATTCTTTTAGAATAGTTGACAAAAAAATTCAAAAAAATGCTGGGTAAGCAGCATTTTTATGACTGTTTAAACTGTATTCGGGGCTAGTTGAAATTAAGGACCGGTATTGCCCATTAACGATATATATGTATATGTAGTTATGTCGACACAATTGTGTTTTTGTTCTAAATTTTAGAAGTATTTCTTGTTTTATATTTCATTTGCTTATTTCTTAATCCCATATTGTTCTTTAAACAAAACAATGTAATTTAGAAGTATTTAATTCTGAATTAAAATTAATATTATTTTAATGCAAAAACTTAAATTCAGATTCTTAATCAGACAATTTATTAATTCTTACCCAAATACTTTATGTTGTCATGTGCAAAAAATTTTATACAAATCATAAAATTTAGATTTTATTGAACAATAGCAATAAAATCTATATATATATATAAAAGAATGTGTGTTTATTTGTTTGTGGGTTTGTTTTTTTGTTTGAAGTCTATAGACG